TATGACTCGCTGTCAATGAACAAAACCCAAATATGACTCGCTGTCAATGAACAAAACCTAATATGACTCGCTTGTCAATGAACAAAACTAATATGACTCGCTTGTCAATGAACAAACCTAATATGACTCGCTTGTCAATGAACAAAACCTAGTATGACTTGCGTGTCAATGATCAAAACCTAATATGACTTGCTTGTCAATGAACAAACTAATATGACTTGCTTGTCAATGAACAAACCTAATATGACTCGCTTGTCAATGAACAAACCTAATATGACTCGCTTGTCAATGAACAAAACCTAGTATGACTTGCGTGTCAATGAACAAAACCTAATATGACTTGCTTGTCAATGAACAAACCTAATATGACTCGCTTGTCAATGAACAAAACCTAATATGACTCGCTTGTCAATGAATAAAACCAAATATGACTTGTATAACACCACAATATCCTTTCTCTGTTACATACAAAAACGAGCATCGATGCTTAATGCCACTAAACTACTTGACCTCTCACCTTTTCCTGTTCTTTGGCATTTGCAGTAAGTCTGGATTTTAACGCCAGATCTTCAGCATTATCAGCTTCTCTACAGTTCCTGTCATAACTTTTCTTTAGCTGTAAAATCATAATATTTATTTATTGATGACAAGTTTTACTCTATATATATTTCTTCTGTTTCTGGGACCTCATTACTTTCGTCTTACTATACGTATATTTCTTCTGTTTCTGGGACCCCATTACTTTAGTCTTACTATATATATATTTCTTCTGTTTCTGGGACCCCATTACTTTAGTCTTACTATATATATATTTCTTCTGTTTCTGGGACCCCATTACTTTCATCTTACTATATGTATTTTTCTTCTGTTTCTGGGACATAATTACTTTCGTCTTACTATACGTATATTTCTTCTGTTTCTGGGACCCCATTACTTTAGTCTTACTATATATATATTTCTTCTGTTTCTGGGACCCCATTACTTTCATCTTACTATATGCATTTTTCTTCTGTTTCTGGGACCTCTTTACTTTAGTCTTACTATATGTATTTTTCTTCTGTTTCTGGGACCTCATTACTTTCGTCTTACTATATGTATTTTTCTTCTGTTTCTGGGACCTCATTACTTTCGTCTTACTATATGTATTTTTCTTCTGTTTCTGGGACCTCATTACTTTCGTCTTACTATATGTATTTTTCTTCTGTTTCTGGGACCTCATTACTTTCATCTTACTATATGTATATTTCTTCTATTTCTGGGACCACATTACTTTCGTCTTACTATATGTATTTTCTTCTGTTTCTGGGACCCCATTACTTTCGTCTTACTATATGTATTTTTCTTCTGTTTCTGGGACCTCATTACTTTCGTCTTACTATATATATATTTCTTCTGTTTCTGGGACCCCATTACTTTCGTCTTACTATATGTATTTTTTGTTTGTTTCTGGAACCTCATTACTTTCGTCTTTCTACATGTATTTTTCTTCTGTCTCTGGGACCACAATACTTTCGTCTTACTACATGTATTTTTCTTCTTTTTCTGGGACCTCATTACTTTCGTCTTTCTACATGTATTTTTCTTCTGTTTCTGGGACCTCATTACTTTCGTTTTACTAAATGTATGTTCTTCTGTTTCTGGGACCTTATTACTTTCGTTTTACTATATGAATTTTTCTTCTGTTTCTGGGACCCCATTACTTTCGTCTTACTATTTTATGTATTTTTTGTTTGTTTCTGGGACCTCATTACTTTCGTCTTACTACATGTATATTTCTTCTGTTTCTGGGACCTCATTACTTTAGTCTTACTATATGTATTTTTCATCTGTTTCTGGGACCCCATTACTTTAGTCTGTTTCTGATATCCCAATACTCACTGCAGTAGTCTTACTATATGAATTTTTCTTCTGTTTCTGGGACCCCTTTACTTTCGTCTTACTATTTTATTTATTTTTTGTTTGTTTCTGGGACCCCATTACTTTAGTCTTACTATATGTATTTTCTTCTGTTTCTGGGACCCCATTACTTTAGTCTGTTTCTGATATCCCAATACTCACTGCAGTAGTCTTACTATATGTATTTTTCATCTGTTTCTGGGACCCCATAACATACCGTCATAGTCTTATTATATGTATCCTTCTTTTGTCTCTGGGACTCCAGAATAACATCTTCAATTTTTTTCCTTTTTTCTCGTTGTAAATCACGAAATTCCCTTATGTGTTTGACTTCTTCCAACAACACCTGCGACATCGCAATGTGTGCCTCCCCAATTTTCTCTGTTTGACACACAAACTGTTCCCAGGACTGTTTCATGGAACTAGAAATAGATGAAAAAAACATTATTATCTTCATGATTTAGTGTTCCATAAAAAAGACCTACATGTATTTGCAAATGTTGAAAACATTTTTGTACATAATTTCAACACTCAATATTTGTGCTATGTATGAACATCTTGTTTTGTTTATAGCCCCGTCACACCATGACGTTCTGGCTAGCGTTCTCTGGCGTTTGAGGAAACGTTGGTAGTCGCCTAAAGTCGCTGGGACAGCGCCAGAAGAGTGCCGTGAGAATGCTAGTGAACGTCGGTAATCGTTGCTGATCATCGGGAATCGGCAGAGAACGCTGATCCCCAAAAAAAGTTTTGAACATGCACAAAAGTTCTCATTTGAGACCAGCGTTCTTCAACGTTTATTTTTAAACGCTGTTAAACGTTAAATAACGTTCTTCGATTGTTTTGCTAACGTTCGACGCGTTCCACAATCGTTATTCAATCGTTGCTCTAGCGTTACTTAGTTGTTACCAATCGCTCGCTTTGCAGTGAACAACTCACTAGCGACCTGTCAACGACCACTGACGTACC